TACAACCACATTCTGCCTCGTCTTCACCCCAAGCACAGTCACTATGTCCATCGCATACTTTCGATTTAGGAATACATGATTTATCTTTGCATTCAAATTCATAACTTGTACATCCACAATCTTTCTCGTCTTCTCCCCAAGCACAGTCGCTATGTCCATCGCATACTTTCGATGTCTTTGCATTCAAATTCATAACTTGTACATCCACAATCTTTCTCGTCTTCTCCCCAAGCACAGTCGCTATGTCCATCGCATACTTTCGATGTAGGAATACATGATTTATCTTTGCATTCAAATTCATAGTTTGTACAACCGCATTCTGCCTCGTCTTCACCCCAAGCACAGTCACTATATCCATCGCATAATTTCGATGTAGGAATACACAATTTATCTTTGCATTCAAATTCATAAATTGTACAACCGCATTTTGCCTCATCTTCACCCCAAGCACAGTCACTATATCCATCGCATAATTTTGATTTAGGAATACACGATTTGTCTTTGCATTCAAATTCATAACTTGTACATCCGCAGTCTTTCTCGTCTTCACCCCAAGCACAGTCACTATTTCCATCGCATATTTTCGATTGAGGAACACATGATTTATCTTTGCATTCAAATTCAAAACTTGTACATTCACAGTCCTTTTCATCTTCACTGCGAGCGCAGTCGCTATACCCGTCGCACACTTTCGATGTAGGAATACATGATTTATCTTTGCATTTAAATTCATAGCTTGTACATCCACAGTCCTCCTCGTCTTCACCCCAAGCACAGTCGTTATATCCATTGCATTGTTTTGATGTAGGAATACATAATTTGTCTTTGCATTCAAACTCATAACTTGTACATCCACAGTCTTTCTCGTCTTCACCCCAAGGACAGTCACTATATCCATCGCATACTTTTGATGTAGGAATACAGGATTTGCCTTTACATTCAAATTCATAACTCGCACAACCGCATTCTGCTTCGTCTTCACCCCAAGCACAGTCGCTGACACCATTGCATACTTTTGATGTGGGAATACAAGATTTGTCTTTGCATTCAAATTCATAACTTCTACAACCGCAGTCCTTTTCTTCTTCACCCCGAGCACAGTCATTATATCCATCGCATACTTTCGATGTGGGGATACAAGATTTGTCTTTGCATTCAAATTCATAACTTGTACATCCACAGTCATTTTCGTCTTCACCCCAGGTACAGTCGTTATATCCATTGCATACTTTAGATGTAGGAATGCACGATTTGTCTTTGCATTCAAATTCATAACTTGTACATCCACAGTCCTTCTCCTCGTCTTCACCCCAAGCACAGTCGTTATATCCATCGCATACTTTTGATGTGGGGATACAAGATTTGTCTTTGCATTCAAATTCATAACTTGTGCAACCGC